CCCCCCCCACAAGCTGCAGAGCTGCTTCACCTTAGCTCGAGCTCACTCAACAACACCCTCCTCAGGGTTGCAATGAGCATGAGCTCAAGCTCATAGCATCACCAATCCAAGACCATGAATCGGGCACTGACATGTCTACGCTGTTGGGGTCTCAAGCTTCAAACGCGAGCCTTCTCTGCGCGCTCATTTGCAGACAACAGACGGCCGCCTATAGCGCCAAAGCCCATCATCGACATCAAGCACATTCGTCAAAACCCAGAGCTATATGAGCTCACATGCCTGGAGCGAAACTACAGAAATCAAGCAACATACCCCGCCAGGATCCTGGAACTACATTCCGAATGGCAAGTCTTGCAGAGACAGGGGCGCGCCCTCCGCGAGAGATCAAATTTACTGAGGAAATTCCTCGCGAATCCGGCCACGAGCAGCGGAGACGATGATGTCGAGGATATTCGGGAGATGAGCCGGGAGCAAGTGCAGGACGAGGCGAGGAAGCTGAAGGGTGAACTAGCCGTCATCGAGAAGGGCGAGGCTGAGGCTGTCGCCGAGATGGAGGCTCTCGCGCTGGAGATTCCGAACCTGACGAGCCACGACACTCCTCGCGGGGACGAGGCCGTTCTCCTGAGCTACATCAACGACCCGCCGACGGCCTTTGACAACTCGCCCGAGAACAAAGTCTGGCGGTCGCACGTGCATGTCGGCTCGGAGCTGGGACTGTTTGATTTCTCAGGCGCGGCCACAGCGTCCGGCTGGGGATGGTATTACCTCGTCGGCGAGGCCGCCCAGCTCGAACAAGCCCTCGTGCAGTATGCGCTCGCCGTCGCCACCAGGTATGGCTGGACCCAGGTGTCGCCGCCGACAATGGTATACAGCCACATCGGAGCGGCGTGTGGTTTCCAGCCGCGCGATCAGCACGGCGAGCAGCAGGTGTACGCCATTGCGCAGTCCAAGGCCGATGCGGACCGCGGCGTGCCCGAAATGTGCCTCGCCGGAACGTCTGAAATCTCCCTCGCCGGGATGAAGGCCAACACCACCATTGACCCGGAGGACCTGCCGATGAAGCGCGTCGCCGTGTCCCGGTGTTACCGCGCCGAGGCAGGCGCCCGCGGCGCCGACACCAAGGGTCTCTACCGCGTACACGAATTCACCAAGGTGGAAATGTTTGCGTGGACGAGCCCCGGCCAGGACGACGCGCAGGACGTGTACGAAGAGATGCTCGACATCCAGACGGAGATTCTGCAGTCGCTGGGGCTCTACTGCCGCGTCTTGTCGATGCCGACTGCGGACCTGGGCGCCTCGGCCTCGCGCAAAGTAGACATAGAGGCCTGGTTCCCCAGCAGACAGTCCATCAACAACGGCTGGGGCGAGCTGACGTCGGCCAGCACGTGTACCGACTACCAGACGAGGCGGCTGGCGACGCGCACGCGGGTCGACGGCAAGATCAGCTTCCCGTGGACGTGCAACGGGACGGCGCTTGCGGTGCCGCGTGTCATGGCGGCGCTGTTGGAGAACGGCTGGGACGAGGAGACGGGCACCGTGGCCATTCCCGAGGCGCTGCGGCCGTGGATGGACGGGCTGGAGCGCATGGGGAGGGTGGGCAAGAGGAGGAATGCGCACGAGGTGACGTTTAAGCAGAAGGACGGGCATGTTGAAGAGGCGTAGGACATGGCGTAAAGATTGTACAACTAGCATTTGTATCAAAGAAAAGAAAAGGGCACTCTCACCACGCACAATCTGGGGAATCTTCATGTGCGTCTGGATCGAAATACTCCCAATCAAGCACTTGGACCAAAACGCATGCCATCATCACCCGCCACCCAACCTGCTGTCTCAACACCAAGTCTCGCAACATCTACAACCCTCCCAGCTTCACACCGCGCGGGCTCAAAACCTCCCCCGGCCTCCCAAACGCCAACCTCGGATCCCTCCGCCACCAGTAATACCCGCTCATCTTCTTCACCGCACCGCCCCAGCCGAGTTCCCTCCTCTTCCACGCCGCCCGCCCCGAGCCGTCCGCCCACCCCCGCACGAGATCCCCCTCTCCCTCCCACGGCAGATGCTCGTCGTCAACATCCCCAAACTCGAGCCACACCTCGACCGTCCGCAGCTGGTCCGCATATATAACCAGCAGCGCCAGCACGCTCGCCAGAAAGCTCGCCAGCCAAAAGACCCAGAACCTCTCGCCCTCGGGTCCATAGTCGCCCCCTATAGCGAGGATGCTCGCCACCGCCGACACGGGCAGCATCAACCCGCCAAGATAGGCAATCCTATCCAAGCTCCGGTCGTTGTCCGTCCTCGCTGGCTCGGGCCGGCACGCTTCGGCACCGATGCCCGGCTGGCGGAGGCGCACCCTCATCTCCAGGCGCCGCATCAGATCCGCCCACGCGGAGGCGCACGCGGCGCCGAGCTGCTTCCCCCGCCTGGAGAGGCGCCTCGCCTCGTCGAGGTTGGACTCGAGCGCGGCCATGGCCGCCCAGAGCGACTCCTGCTCCTGGCCCGCGCCGCCCGTCTCCAGACGCATCGCCGAGAGGCAGCCCGTCCAGCGGTCCAATATCAGCTCGCCCCGCAGCTCCTCGACCGCCACTTCGCCCGGATCCGCGGCGCCGCCCGGGCAGGCCAACGCCTGCCAGAGGTCTTGCTCAAAGGACGACATTTCCGTGCGCCTAGTCGAGCTGGGGAACGCGCACCCAATGGCTCCGTAGCCAGCGTCGTGATGCCCGGGCTGGAGCTGCTGGCCGCGCCCGCGCCGCTCCGGCCCAGCACCGTGGCCGACAATGACGACCGGCATCCCCCCTCCTAGCCAGATGCTCACTCTCGAAACCGTCAGGGCCTGTCCGTCGCCGGGCCTGTACAGCGGGACCTGGCCCTCGCCGGCAGCAACCTCGGGATACTCGCAGCTCCACCACCGCGGTCTGCGTTTCCCGCCCCGCGGCCGGTACGGCGTCCCCGAGGCGTGGGCGTCTATAAACCCGCCGTCTACGCGAGCTATACTCACGAGGGCTTCTCGCACGTCCTCGTCGATGTGGCCTGTTCGGAGGACGAGGATGCGGCCTTGGGAGGGGCTGGCTTCGTCCGCCAGCAGCTCGGTGCGGAGCTCGTCGACGCTGGAGAGGATGCGGCGATGCTGTTGGGCGTGGGAGTGCTTCGTGGACCATTCGAGCACGTAGCCTGGTGATGGGGAGGGTACGGCCGGTGCTGAGACGCCGTCTGGGCGGCGGGATATGTAAGCACGTCGGGACATGGCTTGGGGAGTGGTGGCCGGCGTTCCGCTTCTATGGACGACTAGATCATGGTGATTATTCAAAGAGTCGTTATTTACCATCTTTGGAATAGGGAAAAGAAGGTCATGTTGTGTGCCCTTTGGGTGAGATTTTTTCTGGTCTTTTTTTCGTTTCTCCATCTGCACCACAACACATGGTAGGCACGACAACATCATGGGTTTGGACATGCTCCGGCTCACATCATGAGATCACACATGTACCACTGGGGGGGAAAATTGCCAATGACAAGATTTTACGCATTTTCTCGGGTGTATGAAAGCTCCAAGGGGGGGTGGGTGACAGCGGCCTTGCATTCAAAGCTCACATGTCGTCAAAATGGGTCAGGTGCATCATTTTATTGCACCTGCATATGACCACTGATCTCTCTACACCCCGAGGCGCCCGACGTGGAAAAAACAGACACTCATCCGCATGGAGCAAGGAGCGCAACGCAAAAATATTTCGTTTTCTTGGTCCGTTTTCTTGTTCGAGATGAGAGACTAAAAGACTTCCTTGCTCTATCTGTGAAGCTTAGACGTTAACTTTCATGGCTGAGTGACAGTATACATCAAACTTTGCTCTTTACCGCTTCCCTCCCATAACGCCAAATAGAATCCACAATAGTCACTGTAAAAACGCCGCTTCTCTGTGCAAAAAAAGAAGAGAGAAAAAGAGAAAAAGACCAAAAGACCAACCCGACAGACAAGAGCATAAGCGATAATGAGATAGCCAGGCACCTATAACCTAGTCGGTGTTGCCGCTAGGCTAACGTCGAGTGAATCGTCCAGTCGCCAAAGCCACAAGTTCGTCTCTTCTCATTGTAATGCATGCTGAAAACCATAAAAGCATGGCCGGAAAATAAAGAAATGTTTGGCTCAGCAGAATGCAGAAACAACGCGGGCACACCGCAGCGAAATATGTCAGCATCACCCCTCCCGCCCCCAAAGAGATAAGAAAAACAGTACGGCCATGTCAAACACTCTCTTCCATCCTCAATATCAAAGGGTAACGGAACGAGCGAGCACCTCGCCCATACCCATGATGTAGTCAAGCAGAGAAGGTGCGCTACTCCCATCACTATGAAGAAGCGCTTACTTGTTGGCTGACTGAAGGATGATGAACAATGTGTTGGTGATGGTCATCACCATCGTGATGTAGTGTGACGCTGTTGAACTCGCTGAAGGGATCCTCTATCTCGGCTCCTGGAGTTGCCAGTCCGCTGTCTAGCGGCACACCCTTGAGTCTTGATCCACTCATATCCACACTTTCACTCTCTTTGACATTTCGGAAGTTGACTGTGTCGATCCCCTTGGTAGGATGGGGAACAATTGGTGGCTTCATGTGACGAATGAGAGCCCATTGAGTTGAGCGGAAGAATGGGTGTGCCTTGATATCGGATGCGCCAGCCCGAGCTCCTAGTCTCCGGTTTTCGTCCTTGATGAGGAGTTTTCGAATCAACGATTTGCAGAGGCTGTGACACACACAAAGTCAATAAGTCGACGCCGCAACAACTACTTGGTTTAACATACTTGGAGATTTGAGGCGCCCCTGCATGGTCAGGAAATGGAATATCCTCGCGCAGAATGTTGGCAAAAGTAGCGTTTCTGTTCTTTCCCTTGAATGGCGTCGTGCCGTAAAGCATTTCGTAGATCAGAATGCCCAGCGTCCACCAGTCAACAGCGCTAGTGTGCCCGGAACCCTTAATAACCTCGGGGGCAATGTACTCTTCCGTACCAACAAATGAGTTCGTCCGGAAATTCGCGATGCAGGATCTGGTGTCAATCGTAGGCAGGGCGTCTGTCCTGGCACCGTTCTTTCCGATAATCATGGTGGGCTTGCCACCAGGATCAGACTGCTTGGACAGGTCGAAGTCTGAGAGCATAATGTGGCCGGACTGGTGAAGCAGGATATCTGCGCACACAATAGTGTTAGCAAGTAGACTCGGAAAAAAAGGAAAAAGGCCAGTAGATGGCACGTCGGAAAAAAGAGAAAAAAAAGACGTTGGATTCATCATACTCTCGGGTTTTAAATCGCGGTAAATGAAGCCCATTAGATGAAGGTATTCGAGTGCAGCTGTAACTTCAGCAGCATAGAAACGAGCGTCGTCTTCGGGAATGCACTTCCCAGGGCGAGTCTGCAGAGCTCGGAAGAACTCTCCACCGCTGCAATATTCCATGCACAGGTATAAATGCTCGTCAGACTGGAATGAGTGATAGAGCGTGACGATGAAGGGATGATTGCTCATTGCCAGAATCTCCTGCTCAGCAAGCGCCCGCTTGATCTTGTTTCGTTTGATCATTTCCTTTTTACTCAAAACTACAAAATACACAACCTGTCAGCGTGGTTTGGCTTGTAAACTGGGGGAATTTCTTGTGACAACACATACCCTTCATAGCATAAAGCCTGCTGCTCTTCTTCTCCCTCACAAGATACACCTTGCCAACATCACCCTTTCCAATGAGCTTAATCTTGTCAAAGCTGGCAGGGCTAACCTCGACGTTGCGGACTTTGATGGAGTTTGAGCTATACGTCCTCCGGAAAGCCAAGGACGTACTAGGTGCTGGCAATGCCGAGAGGACATCCTCGCCGGCAATGGCATGGCTTTCGCTCTTGGAGGATTCGGAGTGAGACTGAGCAAGGCCAATGGAGCCACTCTCCGAGTCGGCAACAAGAGGATCTTTGCCGAGCTCGGCGGTTGCAGGTCGCTCGGCGGTGGGTATACCAATACCAATGGGCAGAGCGGGAACTGAGCTGGACGCGGCGCTGGCAAACAAGCCCTGAGCATTGGGGGCACTAGCAACCCTCCGCAGACGGCGAGCCAGTTCCTCCTTGGTCTCGCTCGTGGCCTGGTCGGCAGGAATACCATCGGGGCCGCTAACCTTTAACTCGGGAGTGTCAGGTGGGCTGGGCGGCACTGAGCCCTCATTGTGATGCCGCAGGCCGGGTTGGCCCTGGTGGGCAAAGTAAGGGTTGGCGTGGGCAGTAGGACTCATGGCCTCTTCGAGCTGATTGCCTTCGCTGGCAGAGGTGTGGGCGCGGAGTCGGCCGACGGTATTGCTGAAGAATTTGGTATGGCGGGAGGGCTTTGCGGCAGACATGTCGGCAGCAGCAGCATTGTTGGAGGCTGAGGAGCGGGATGCATTGTTGGCGGCGGCCTTGTCCTTTTCACTTCCACTGCTGGTGGCGCTGTTCATGCGAAAGAAGTTTCGGAGACGATGGCTCACCTGCGCACCGGAGCCATTTGAGCCCTTTGAGGAGGGCATGATGTGGCCTGGTGACGGGAGACGGGGAGACGGGGAGACGGTTGACGGTTGACGGTTGACGATGGGCGATGGACGATTAGTAAGGAGCCGGATCAATCAGTCGATGCCATGGTTTGTTCGCAATTCAGGCTCAAGGGCAAGGAGAGGACGCTGGGGTGGACGGCCTTCCTTGTGTGGCACGGGGGAGATGGGCCAAGGAGACGGACAATTCGAGATGAGATGAGGGGAGTTGAGAGGCAAAGAGGGAGGTGAAATGTCGTGGCGGCGGTGGTGGGTGCGTGGTGACGGAGAGACGGTGACAACGGTCCGTGTCGGCGGTGCGGCGAAGACGATTGCGTGGTGGTCTGGGACCTTCAACGCGGTGCTGCTGCTTGTGTCTTGCCAGGCTCTATAGCCGCACCTCAACCACGCCGTACCACACCCCAGTGCCACTGCTTATAGTTACATGCTAAATTAAGGTCACATGTAGTCAGCGATTGCCTGGACCAGTGTGGTCTGGTCGAGTCGGGAGGGTGGGACCGGACCTGACATGGCTTGACATGGGGGACACACACCCCTGGAGAAACCATTAGAGACACCACTGGAAGATGCCAGCCAGTCGACCACTTGCAGTCTTCAATATTCAGCACTGGCCATTGGCCACCGACCAGTGAATCGTCAGCCCGAACGGCGCTGCCCACTTGGGGACTACCAGTGCGTAGTTCATTAATGTGAGGTTAACTGGTGTCTGAGGCGCCCTGGCCCCGTGGGTCTCTCAAGTGCTTGGAGTCTAGCAAGTCTATTGGTCTCGGCGGATTGGCCGCCCAAGGAATGTACTGCACAATCCGGAACGTAAAGAGCATGTTACGGACTATGTGTACAGTTAATACAATAAAGACATGGAACTTCCGGGAAACGCACCGGGCCCCTTCCCCCTCCCCCTTCTCACCTCCGTCTCTACCTCATGCCTAGATGCTAGCTAGGACTGGCCACATGTGGCACGAGGACGGAGGAGGCACCTTGGGGCCGTGGACCCCATGTCATCCCGTCATCGATCCGTATTCCGATTCCGTGTCAGTCATAATAACTAGTACCCAGTCAAGTTACTTCCTACCGACATGGAAGCATTCGGCATCTGCCAGCCTACCAGACTGCTGCCGACGGATTCAAATGGCTGAGTCGCAGCCTTCGCTGGTTGGATGGGGTGCGTCTTTTATGCAAGGCAAGGAATTATACCCAAACCACACACTCAATCAACCCTACAGGAGGGACCTAACAGTATATGTGTTGCGTATGATTGCGTGGGCTTGTTCCACCGATCGGACCACGTTACCACTTTTTCCCCACGTCTGCATTTGCAATCAACCCATCAATCTGTCATTGCGTTGCCAATTGCCTATTAGGTTACCACTCTCGAACATCCAAACAGAGGGGAGCTTCGCCGGCTTGACCGGCTCTGTGCTGTCGGAATAAGACCGAACTGAATTGCTTGTCACCTCACTCGAGCCCCATCTTCGCCGTCGTCGGCCATCAGTCATCGATCATCGGGGCTGCCCTTCCCATGTCGTGAAGCTTCAGGGGTTTTCAGAATGTCTTTGGCTGTGAGGGCTTGGTAATATTCAATAAACGCTCGCGTGGTCCCTAGCAATGAGTCTCAAAGGAAGCCGCCGAACCAGGCCCTTCACTCCTAGAGCTGCACTTCTTAGTCCTGGACCTGCCTGCCTGGGACTGCGCTACACAAGTTCGTTGCAGTGCCACGGGCTCAGCAAGCCTTGTCAGACGCCATGGCAGCCTGGTCAGCCCAATATGTTGATAACACT